CCTGGACTCTCTGTCAACCCAGAACTAAAACAATTCCCGAGACCAACTCTTCAGACAAAGATTAGACTGGACTGCGGGACATAAAATGATACTCGTGAAGAGCGTACTTCTTAGCTCAAGTACATACATGAGACTAAATGGGCAGCTTCTGTCCGGACATGAGATGAGAAGGCAGATGAGAGGGTTAGGAGCTGGTTGAATGGACATGGGAAATCAGGGGTAGAAAGGAGGAATGTGCTGTCACGGTATAGGGAGAGCAGTTAGGATCACACAACAGTGTATGTATAAATTTTTGTAGAGAGGCTAACGTGAATTGTAAACTTTCATTTAAAGTACAACAATAAAAAATAAAGATGACTGGCTTAAGACACACCCTAAAAAAAATAAAAAATTACACCATTGTTAGACTGCAAAAAATGTTCCAGAAAGCTAAAAACATGACACAGCTTAGTTTCAAAGGCTACAAAAGTGTGACTGGAGTCCATTGATTGGGCTGGAACTTCAACACTGTTATCTGAAAAAAGTGTCAACATTGTTGAGGCACGTCTGATATCTCCAAAATGTATCAAAGGTCTGACATAGTCTAGCTGCCAGCATTGGGTGGGGACAATGTCCCACACAATGTGGCCACTCTCACTGAGACAAATGGATCAAATTTTGGCAGGAGTCACAAGTCTGTCATGAAGTGGTAGCTGAGGAATTTGAAACACAGAGTTCTTTATTTTGTGTCCAATCTATGAGGTCGGACATATTGCCATATTTAGTATGATGATGGATCCAGGTAGTGAGGGCAGCAATCTGAGTGATTCAAGCTTAATCAGCCACTGGATTCCAGTCAGTTTCCTTCAAGAACATGTCCTTACCATGGACATTTATATGAATGATGAAAACAGTTTGGGCAGCAATAGAGATTTGCTTCCACAGTTCATGGCCCCAAAGAGGGGTATCTTTAATCTGCCAATCTGTAGTTTTCTAAGTAGCAGACCAAAGAGCTAGGATATTAGCAACAACTCAAGAATAAGTAAAAATATAACAGGACCACATTGGGTTTAGCCAAACCATCAGTGGACCAGGCCTGGACATTTAGGGAAATCACTGTGAACTGAGGATCCTATTGAGCCAGAGTCTTTGCTGTAAATGGCACAGTGAGGAATAAACTGTCACCCAGAGTGATATCTGCTAATTTTTCATGTAAAGCTGAGATTCTCCTGGTGTCAGAATGGTAGCTGCATTCTTAAATATACCATTTTCATTAGCTAAGAGAAACTTGTTGGACTCTTCCACCTTGTTAATCACAGTGTCTGAGTTGACTCACCCCAAAATGGGAATATCAGACTGGAGAATCACAAGGCCTTCACAGATCAGTCCTCAGCTTCCATAAGAGGCTAATAGGAGTTTTCAGAAAGAGTTGTTAGTAGCTGTGTCAGGAAGGTGACCAATCCAAACCTCCAAGAACACTTCTAAGTGAAGGCTGACTTCCTTCACCACAGGATCCAAGAATTTATCCACAATGTATAGGTCAGTCTCTCATTTTCCAGTGAGTCCCTTCCATAAGCATTATAACCCCAATTCGAGGTATTAAGAGCCTAAATATTAGCCAATGCCTTGTCTATAATTTCTCATGGAAGTTTGTCTCAGGGAAATCTCCTTGAAGACAGCTAAATCTCCCCTATTGCATCCAAGACTTACTGCAGAAATCACTGAGACCTTTGTCATCTCTGAAAGTATCTAAGGTTGGCATGATAGACTGCAGAAGGGGTTAAGTCTTAATAATGTCCAGATATTGCCATTCTTCTTTAACAAAAATTACACTCTATTATGGAATTGTGTCCCCCTCAAAATATGTATTGAAATCCTGACCCCTATACCTGTAAATGGAGGCCTGGTGGCGCAGTGGTTAAGAGCTATGGCTGCTAACCAAAAGGTCTGCAGCTCGAATCC